TACTTTTTTGAGTGCGGCAAATTAAATGGGAAATATGGACTAGCGATAAGTAATAGCGCATAATAATATAGACTGTGTTTCATATTTGCCTATAATGTTTTATTGCTTTGTGCGGGACGCGACATTGTGCTAAAAATACTCGCATTAATACTAACAACCCGCGAATAAAATTCGATTTAAGAGAAGGAAGCGAGACGTCCCGCGCGGTATAATGTGAACATTGTACAAAATGTTGCCGTGGTAAATATACAGTCGAGAAACCGGAATGAAATCGCTGCGACGTCAAAAAAAGAGTGCAACAAAAATGCACTTTGCTCTACCAAGAATTCTGGTGTAAAATTACAAAATAAATAGAAGAAAGCCCGTCCCCGCGACGTCGCACGTCGCTACCTTGGTCGTACTAGAAGAGGAAATTAACGAACCAAAGATAACGAAGTGAGACAATCGTGCAAAATGACTTAAAAAGTGGCCCCTCGGAAGCATCGCGGATGTAATATTGCACCGTGGCGGGCGCGAAAGTTTAATATTTTCAAATCAGACGTACGTTTTTACTTTATCGGTTGCGACAAATATTGAAATTAACGTCTCGCGCGAACGCGCGTTATTTCACTTGTATTGTATTCCAGCCGGCGATTTATTATGTACCGACAGCCAAGAGTCGCATTGTAAATCGGCGGCTACGCGAGGGGGCGGGGGGAGGGGGGAGAGGGGGGAGCGAGCCGCTTCGATTTCGGGAGTTCCGGGTATAGCGCCCGTTCGCCGTTGCCGATGCACGCTGCGCTCTCCGCGTGACGCACGTCGAAGATGCGAGCGTGCCGGGTGACTGTACTCCGGGTTCATCGTTCTCGGTTATGTAATGTTCGGCCGCGTATGTATGGTGCAAGCGCCTCGACGCTCTGCCCGTGGCGCTAGAGTTGCCGGACGGGAGTAAGCGCGCTCGGGCGATATATCCAGACGGGAGACCGGCCGCGCACCGAATCCCCGTTTCCGCGCACGCACACGCGCACGTGCGAACAATCACGGCTCCCCCCTCCCCTCCCCCGCCGCCCCGCCCACCCACCCCCCCACCTATCCGTTTTTCGCCGTGCGACGCGGCTTTCGGACTCTTTTTTTTTCTGACCGCCTAGGCCCACCGCCGGGCGCCGGGGCGGCCGAAATCTCTCGACAACTTTTCGAAAGCGGGCCCCTTTCGGGAAGCTGGGAAGACCGTTTTTGTGTAACTAGAAATGGAAGAGTTCGCTTTTAGACTCTCATGTTTCAATGCGTGAGTGACGTGTGCTACCTTTTGCAAGATAACGAGATTTACGGATCTTTGATAAATTGAGAATAAAATTTTAGTTACGATTTCTGAATTTAATTACTTGGTATGGAATGCCTGTGGATTTAATACAGAATGTACAGATATACGTCAAGTAGTGCAGTTTATACCAGTGCTTACTAGAAATCGAATTAAATTGTGATAGCACAGTGCGCGTGTTTGAATGCCCATTATCAGTGTTGATAAGAAAACGAAGAATTTGATTCAAACCCTAGCAGATAAAGAAAGCGATAAACTCTGTGACTCGTGAATTTGTTTGAAAACTTGACTCTCGACCAAATAGAATTCAAGGAAGTATTCCTTAAACCACGATAATCTAGAATTTAAAAAACTTTTTTGCAATAATATTTCCATACTTAAGAAAATATATATGAGAACAATTTACGCTAATCTAGCGATAAACACAGTTCAATATTAAAACATCCGATAATAAATTTAATCTTCATCTCTTTGTATTAATCCTTTTAAACGCTACTATTTAAATTGAGGAGCACAAATGGATTCAGCAAACGCATTTCGGGAGTGGCTACGTATAATACTTCGGCGCGATACCCCGCGTGGAGCATATCGTGAAAACAAATGGTGCGCATTTAAGACAAAGCCTAATTAAAGACCAATTAAGGACGTCCATTCGACGGACGATCGATCGTGATCGCACGGGTGGATCCTCAGGCTCGAGCCGGCATTGTCCCCACGACAGATCGTAAATGAAACCGGTAGGAAAGACGCGTAAATGGAGGGAAGTCTGTCAGGATTTGGCGGGCCAACGTGGGGTGCGGACAGTACGAGTCCTCAGCCGACGGAAAGATCGAGATCGAGGGAGAGACCCGCGCAGCCTCCCTCCGGCGCTGGCGGCGCGACCCTCGACGATCGTAGACTGCAGGCTAATTCGATACGAGGTAGAGCCATTGAAGAAATGGAAATAGGAGATACGCGCGATTAGGTTGAATAAATTGATTAAAACTTATTAATACGGATTATTTATAACTTAACTCGATTAATGCGGGAGACACGATGGCAGATGTAAGGAATAGAAACTATTATACGCGAAACCGAGTGCTATATCTATCGTAATTTTATAGAATTTAATTCCAGAGCTATGTATAACTTAAGGACTTCTGTTGTATTATTTGCAAATTTTCCTCTCATCTTGAAAGATGCAAGAAAAGTGCTTTATTACACGTTCCTAATGAAGGAGTCGCAATATAATAAAAATATTCAAAGCGAAAAAATTCAGGATGGGCACATGCACTGAGGGCCGCTTCATCCAAACTCCGGTTAAATTAATCGACGATTAAAGGTTTGCCAACATGACAAATACAAAATAATTCAGTGTGACCAACTATATTCCTGGCGATATAATTGCGTCGTTCTAACCTTTCTTTCTCCGGCAGTATTAAAATCTTGCAAGAAAAATCTGTTTCTTTCTCTACTTGTAAGCAGTAATAAGTAGAATAGATTTTCAGGATTACATCGCCAGGAATACAGTCGGTCACACTGAATTATTTTGTATTTGTCATGTTGGCAAACCTTTAATCGTCGATTAATTTAACCGGAGTTTGGATGAAGCGGCCCTGAGAGACCCATTTTGTTGGATGAAACAAAATTTAGTTGACTCAACTGAATTTCTTGTTTGGATATGAGCAAACAAATCTTTCAATTGATACAACAAAAAAGTTTAGTTAGAAAATTTGGTTATATCAACACACAAATTTGGTTGAGTGAACATGCGCAGAATCCTTTGATAATATTCAACCAAACGATTCAGTCAACAAAATGATTCCAATCAAATTGTTTCGTTTCATTCAACAAAATGGGTCTCTCAGTGCAGTTTCGCTCATTCTGCTGATTGTCGCGAAAGAATCCGAAGGAACCGTCCCAGCCCGTGACCAGTGATGGGAGACGAGCCGTCTTTCTGGCGCATACGTTATATTTCTGGTGAAAAATGGTGAAAACAGTAACAATAAAGTACCTAATACGAGAAACAAGGTGTACCGTTGATCGCCCTTACATAAAACTCATATAAAAATTTTTTAATTTAAGGAAATAAAGGCTACATATTTGTAAAGATATATAAATATAATGACGCATATACACAAAGGTATACTTACCTTTACTCTAACCTAGCCTAGCCTTCTCGTAGAGACTTTCGCACCTTTCATGATTATCACGCCATAATATACGTTACTGCTTATCGGCTGCTTTCGCTACGCATGCACCAAAAACTAGGGCTCGGATTTTATTCCGTTTTTCGAATAAACGTTTAAACGTGAAACGTTTATCCGTTTACATTTTCTTCCAGAAAAACGTTTACACGTTTAAACGTTTACTAAACGTTTAGTAAACGTTTAGTAAACGTTTAATATACGTGTAAACGTTTAATAAACTTAAATAATAATAATAATAAACGTTTACACGTATATTAGAGCCTAGTAAACGTTTAAACGTTTGTTATGTAAAAACACGTGTATTCGGAAAAACGTTTCTAATAAATGGATAGCTAATTTTAAGGCCATTCTACAATTGCGTAAACGTAGTTGTAGGGTTGTAGGAGTAGAAGTAGTAGTAAGTGTTGTATATTAAAGTAATATACAATAGAGTGAGATACGTCATAATTCAAGTGAATGATTGATTAATTTTTACATCCTACGTCGTTGTAGTCGTGAAAGATGAAGTTCAACCATCTTTTACAACAGGCTTTACAATCGGAAATGCTAGTTTAAAACTGTGTTTTACAACACTCTACAACCGTTAACAATCACGTTTACGCAATTGTAGAATGGCCTTTATACGTACAAACGTGTTTCCGTTTAAAACGTATAATAGCGAGCCCTACCAAAAACCCGGCTCGTCTCCCATCACTGCCCCGTGACGGGGTACCTTATATGCCAGGCTAACGTGATCTCACTTACGAGTTTGGCGGCCATCTAGTGGCGCAATACCGTACTTTGAGATGGACGAATTTGTTCTCTCAACCATACTATTTTGTTCAAATGAACAACTCATGGAAACAAAATATTTGGTTGTTGTAACTTCTTTTCAGCAACATATTTTTTGTTTTATACAATCAAATTACATGTTCAGTCAACAAACTGATTCAATCAAATTATTTCGTTTTTTATTCGACAAAATGGGTCTCTCAGTGTGCGATAAAGGAAGGGCTAGCGCGGGCCAAACGCGGATGATAAGGCGCAACATTACTTTTTCGAATAACTACACGGAGAGAATTTTCTTTTAAAATTTACGCTGAAAATCGTGTGGGACAACGTAGCATTTTGAAGAACTTCTTATATTTTATTAGAGAGTAAAATGTATGGTAAACTTTCAAAAAAGTCTCATAAAATTCTTCGAAATGCCGTGTCGTCCCACGGTTACACGAATAAATTTTAAGAGAAAATTCTCTTCGTGTACATTTGATAAATGCATTTCTTCAAACGTTTCGGTTCTTTTTCCGACCGTCTCCAGTGATGTTAAGTTATAAAATATATCCTGTGATTCGAAGTGCATTGTAATAAAGAGGATAGAGAGAAGGCAGGGAATAATTTGTCCCCCGTTCGTACGCATCACTTGAAGCTTGTTGAAATACTGGAAGTAAAAGCGTTGCGATGCTAAGGGAAGATTTCGCGAGACATCCTCGATAGGAGCTCATAATTGACGTGTCTCGTTTCTTTTATGGTTGCAGCCCAGATCGAGATAATCCCGTGCAAGGTATGCGGGGACAAGAGCAGCGGCGTGCATTACGGCGTGATCACCTGCGAGGGCTGCAAGGGCTTCTTCAGGCGGTCGCAGTCGTCGGTCGTCAACTATCAATGTCCGCGGAACAAGAATTGTGTGGTCGACCGTGTAAACAGAAACCGGTGCCAGTACTGTCGGTTGCAAAAGTGCCTACGCCTCGGCATGTCAAGAGATGGTGAGTGCTTTCGACTGCTCCAACCTTTCGTCACCTTCTTTCAGAAAGACGAATCGCTCTTGTCACTCGGCGGGATTCTCCAAGTGGCGAGACGCGGGGAGCTTTATACCTCTCCGCCTCGCGCATTATTCTCACGGGTGTTGGAGAAGCATGCGGTTCACACCTAGCATTGTTGTCACTCTCGAATTTTGTATACAAAAATTACTTTCGCGCCCCGTAAGTGCCTTTATATATGAGACAAGATTATAAACTTCTCTTCTTTAACCCTTGAAGCATGGTGGTAACCCACGTTACCACCTCAACTTCTTTACCCTTTGGCCATTTAATTTCTAGTTAACATACTTATTTGTGGCGAGTGTGGCGCAGAGAAATATGCGCTGCTTAGTAAACAAATGAACGAAAAGATCCGAGTTCAAATCCACGGACACTGCTGGTTTTTTTTTAAATCTCTCTAAGGGAAGTAGCAACCACCGAGGGTATCTTACCACACATACCCCTTCAGGGGTATAGCCATTCCAGATGGGAGGCTTCCTTCGGCAAGGTTAGCAGCTTACCGAAGATGAAGTAAAACCAAATGCTCAAAGTACCAGAATGAACTGGATAAAACAGGCTTTAAGCTTAATATACGAGGAAGAAGATATTTAGGTCGGGTGTTTTGCATTTTTTGGGTATCTTAGCGATAAAAGAACATAAAAAAAGTTGAGTAGTATTTAATATTTATTGTAAAAGTTTTATAACTAAACAAATATGAAAAGATAGCAATTTTTCCGGAAAAATTCATTATTGGCCAAGTTTTTTAAGATTATTTCTTGAAAACTTTGTACAAAGAAGTTTTCGGGGTCGCTCATTACGAATCTGATGTCAGATTTTCAAAATTCAAAATGGCCGATCCAAAATAGCGGAGTACGTGAATTTTTTAAGTTTTCAAGTTTTTCAGCATTTTCGTTTGATTACGGTATTTAGGGACTCATCACGTCCGCGTCGTTAGCTCTGGGCCAAGAATGAATAAATTCTAAGAAATGATAAATTTCAATTTTGCATCCGTCACTTTGCGCGTGCTATTTTTTATATTCTATAAGAAATTTCAACTGAAATTTAGATTACAGGGCTCCTAATAATATCTGAATAATGTTTCTTAGCACAGTTGAATTACAGTAGAAAGATGTTATTTTTTAAGTTTTGAATCCCGCCATTTTAAATTATGAAAATCTGATAACGGATTCGTAATCAGCGACCCCAAAAATCCTTGTATACAAAGTTTCACAAAAAATAGTTCATTAGAAAAATGTATGCTTTAAAGACAATTAAGTACGTTTAATCGTTAAAGTCGAGGAACTTAATCAAATCTTCAAACGATCTGAAATGGTATTTGTGTCTCGGGTAGAAGTCTATTATTTTATACAATCACAGTCAGTAACACGCGGACAAGTTTGGCGCGACGTAGTTCTGTGGGATCGGCGCGAAATAGCGGATAGTTCGGCGTCACACGAACTCTTTAGGAAGCTTCTTTGTCCGAAGGACTATCACGCGGGGACGCGATGTTGCGATATACTCGAATCGATGCCCGATATTTACTCAATGCAGATAACAAAGCAAACAATACAAACGAATGATGCAACGAAGAAAATTGTAGAAACAAAAATGCATTATTTGACACAAAATTATATCATATACTTTTATTTATTGTAAACTTAAGAAAAAACAACCTCTGGATTTGTCCTCTTTCGAGAGGTTTGACAACCGAATCTGATTCAGTTGGAAAGTTATTAAGAAGAAAGAAATTAAATGATTATTGAATCGCGTCTTCCAGCCTTTATAATTGTCGGCAAACTAGATGAGTACATAATTCTCGAAGTTATTAATTCTTGGTAACGAATTGCGTAACGTTCCGTGCACAAATGATGCGAAATCGATTGTTTCGCACGACGGAAAAAAAATGAAAGAAACGTCAGCGGATGACGAAGGCAGCTATATGCATACCGATTGCAGCAAGACGCTACGCGTGCCAACCCGGGGTGCACGACCCCTTATCAGAGTCCGTCTCTCCTCCTCGCGGCGAGTCATCGCTACACTTTATCGGAGCGAGCCACGAACTGTCTTCGGTGCGTTAAACCGCCGCTGTCCGAAGCCTATTCTCGAAGACGGCTGCGATATTAATAGACAAGGCCGTCAAAACGAAACGAGAGACGGAAGATACCTCGTGGGTGGACGGATAAAGCCTATCGGGTCGAAGCCGGTCGGAAACATGATGATGGTAGTCCTAGACCCGACCTTAAAAAAGTCTCACATTGTTGACTCTTTTATATCGCTGATAAGCTTTTTTTAGAATTCGAGTACTGATAAGAGTGACGTGCATAACTCGCGATATAATTATAGTGTTTTTATATAATTATAATTATACATTATATATTGGATACAATTATTATAGAATAATTTTAATATAACGTTGGCAGAGAAGAATTTAATTATCAGTATATTTTCTATATGCGTAAAACAGTTGATTTTTTATTTACGCGAAATTGTCTGAAGTTTCCTTAATTTAAGTTTGCTGCAATAATCATTGAATAAAAATATAAAACAGATCGAAATTGAAATTATGAAGTTAAAATTATAGCGTTAGATGAACGGTTTATTTCGAAAGAAGTTATAAAATTATTGCCAGCTGGGTTCTCTTTAAAGTGAAATCTGACAAGATGATTAAATTTCTTACTGAAAAATAAATTATTTAAAATCAACTAAAAGTGTCATGCTGGAATTTGCAATAAAATACCTCATGCAATAAAATTAAATAAATAAATCTAGATAGAATTATAAACTGTACAAACATGGCAGGTGGATAAATTTATCTTAAAAGTTGCATAGGAAAATGGATTCAAGACTAACTGCTGAAGAATGAATATCTTAGAAATTATATATACAGTATATTAAGTTTATGGCTTCTTTTTACAACAATAGCAAATTACAGATAAAACTAAAATCTTATAATAACTGATTTAAGTTAGCTGATAAAATGCTAATATCATTCATTGCGTTATAATGACGTATCGAGTGGATATGCATCTTGGATGTATCTCCCATGTTATACACGCGGGCGTGCATCGAGAAGACGATGAACCGGATTCTTATCAATATACACGAATATAGGAATACATTGTCGACATGTCGTGCGATTATCGTGACAGATACATACGTGTTCTAAAAAAGATATACATTAAAAGCCGGATTTTATTTCTCATTGTATTATTGATATTAATTGTTTGATCGAAATTATCCTAGTTACATACGTAACCTTCAGAATACTTATTGTTAGAAGTAAGTTGTGAAAGAGAAATTAATTAAATAAATGTTACTTTGCAATTAATATGGAACATATCTCCGCATAACAAAGATAGGTGATAATTAAATTTATTAATAATATGATTGACACAAAAAATTTGTAATTAAAAATTTTTATACGAGAAATTTGTCCCTAGATACTATTGAAAGCATTATTTCTCCTCTACTTTCGTGCACTTAAAACATTGTTTCTACTCTCCTTCGAGAATAAGGTCAGTAGAATCCTTATATTGAGGCGATACAAAATATATATCGCTGATTAAACGAATTAATTTCATTTTTCGATCTCACGTCACTGAGCTGCTCTACAACGTTCGATAAATAAACCCGATCTGGCTCGCAGAGGTGCGGCATAAATTTTATATGCCCCGGTTATTTTTGTTGCCCCGTGATTGTTACTTCCGTGAATCTAAATCGAGCGTTGAACGATCAAAGATCTTGGAAATGTCACAGATTACATTCGACGTTATAGTACAGATAAGACTGTTAATAAAAAGTAGCTAAATTATAAACTATAAATAATATAAAAGTAAATCAAAAGTAATTGACTATAATAATAAAAAACTATAAATAATATAAAAGCAAATCAAAAGTAATTGACAAATAGTGTTCGAATATCGAAATGGTGCCGATTCTGTTTTTATTATAAATTTCAAATGTATGTATTTACACTGTTAATCTCAAAGTTCTATGTAGCGTTTTAAATTTCAAGAATGCCTCGAAATTTAATAAACGTTATTATTATTAACAATTAATGTTATAATACTAATTACTGAATGAATATAATACTAATTAATGAATAACTAACTAATAATGGCTTTAAAATTATTTACCTTTAGTTCTTGCTCTACATTCTACAATCTACATTTTTATCGGTACATACATTATTTCCATAGTTTACGCTATAATCACACACTAATTTATTTTACGTATTTCATTCGCTCTATTAACTTAGTTATGTATTTTGTTTTTTATTCTTACAATGAATAACTGCGCGATGTCGAATGAACGTGGAACGTCTTGCCATTTCACACGGGTCGGAAGATATTTAGCCGCGATATTCGGGCGTAACCGCAATTTCCTGCTTTCCGATGGCCAATTATCAAGCGCGGTTTTTTTTATCTAGCTACGAATAAATAACATCCCGCGACTCACATTCAAACCGAATCCATTAAAATTCTTCGTGCAAGGACGTAAAAAATAGATAATCAAAGACTGCAATAATTGTACCTATAGTTTAAAAGGTGTCGCAAATAAGGATGCTGATTATAACGGGGGAATGTCACGCTTGATTTTAGTGTAGAATCATTTATAGTAATTGCAAAATTGTTGAAAATTAATCAAATTTAATAGCACTTTTTACTCGAAGAGACGTATCTGAATTAAGATTGTAAAAATGTTATGTGCGGGCATTACACTAACACATATTTTCAATGCTTTCAATGCTTGAAATAAAATAATATTTGAGGTAAGATCTTTAAGATTAAGCTTGCCATTAACTTTTGCATTTTGAAAAGAATACTTAGATATAAATTAGAAGTTTTAATTTTAACTTTTGCAATTAATAGATAGTACGTGCAAATGTAATAAATAGTATATGCACTTAAAATAAATTTTTAAAAATAATTATTTCTCACAAGCCACGAATATATATCAGCGATAATTAATTAAGTACGGTTTAATTAATTGAATTTAATTAATTAAAACGTAACATATTTACTAGATATGTGTTTTATTACTTTCATCGTTACCGGTGCATTGCATTCACGCCTGTACAAAATTCACACTCAAGGTATGTCAGTTTTAATTGTCGCTTTTGGCTGAAAAACGATTCTTCACAGTGTCCTTCTAACAAATAAGGACTCAGGCGCGAAAGGATCAATCTAGGATTCGATAAAGCGCGGGGTCCGTTTTAGGGAGGGGGTGGCGCGCATTTCAGATTCAGGTATCGCTTTATTTACCTTCCGGCGCGATAAGCTGCAAATACATCGTTTATACTCAACGTATGAGCGCGCGCCCGCGCGCGTACACAGAATGCCAGAAAGTGCATTGTAAGCTACCGGTTGGTGCATACTCTTCCTGTTGCCGTCTTCGTCTCCGTCTCCTTCCTCTTCTCTCCGTCTCGTTCTCCCGTTCATGCTTTATCCGCGTTCGGTCGATCACCCTCCGCGCTTCCTTCCTCTTCTCCTCGCCGTGCCTCCGCGCGATAGCTGTTCGGTTAGCCGCTGACATCGCTATCCCCCTTATCAACCCTCAGTCCCCCCCCCCTCCTTTGTCATTCGAGCCCTCAACCACCCTCGTGGCACGCATGCGCGTGACTATATGCGTGTCGCGAGAATGCATTAATACCGCGGGCAAAGCAAAAAAAACTTGTTTTAACCTGGTTAAGTTAAAAGATGTAAATCATCGCTTTGCGTTTCATTGAAGAATTTTTAATTCGAGGTATGATAATTTTTTAATGGGATAAGTTATTAGAAAACACTTTCATTAAAAGAAAGCTATGCTATAGGCTGGAAAAAGTGTAGGAATTTTAAGGAAGTCTAGAAGAAATTTTTTAATTAAAAGTTTACGATTTTAATTTTATTTTTAAACTATTTAACGTTTTTATAATTCACATTGTTGTAATACATAACAAATTCGATCCTTTTCATATTCGTCAAATTTAGGACCAGACGTCATTAAAAGAAACTTATACTATGTGGCTAGAAAAGTGAAGGAATATAAATTTTTTTAAGTAAAATGTTACGATGAAAATTTTGATTTTTAAGCTACTTAACTATTTTATAATTTACATTGTTGCAATACGTAACAAATTCGATCCTTTTCATATTCGTCAAATTTAGGACCAGACGTCCTTATCAATTAAAAATTTGATTCAGTCCACGACCTTTAATTTAATTTTTCAACTCAAATTGGCTGAATAAATTTTTAATATAAATTTAAAAAGAAATTATGTCTACGTCGATCAAAAACAATAAACTTTTCAAAGTTCACAGGTAATAACCTCACAACTCGAAATGCGCACGAATGTAAAATGTCAGTCCTACTATAAATTGCTACCGAAAAAGGTCAAGCCTTGAAAATTGAGGTTGAAATTGCTCTCATCGGAATATGTAGGGGATGATCAGTGAGACACGATTCGGTAATTAGATACAACACAATGACATATAAAGTGATATATCAATTCTACATCAAACTTTTCATCGAATGTGAATTACATTTCTTCCTTTTCAGATATTTGTCTAGGCGCTTTTTCGTTTCAATTTTTATATTTAGTACATCAAACATTCCACTAAAGCATTTAATAAGAAATACGTCTGAATAAAATTCGCTTGAGATTAAACAATTAAAAAAAGAAGAAATCAAGAAATTAAAAAAGCTCCTTTGTAATTCACAAGCTTCTAATTTTCGATTGCTCAAAAAAACGGTGCTATAACTTTTCTTAAAGAAGACTCGACTCCGAAATGCCCGGGCAGTGTTAATGCGCGAAGTGTGTGCGTGAAGTTACAGATACTCTGAGAGAAACGTGTTACGCTTTCGGGACAGGGTACACGCGTTTGCCCGAGCTATAGTTCGTGCGTGTGACGTCATCGGGTGGGTGCGTCGCAGCCAGACGACGATAGCGTCGCCGAAGAAGACGAGGAGGACGCGACGAGGCTCTTCCGCGTTCCTCACCGAGCCTTCACGGCGAGGAAGGGACCGACCGGTCGACCGAGCGGCCGCCGCGCCACGCCGCGCCGGTGGGAGGAGGATCGCGTGCTACTTGATCTCGATCAATCCACGGAACACCCGTTAGATTTTATCGCCTCGCGACGAATCGTCGCGTCGATGATCGCGTCTGATTTGAACTCTATAATTCTTCGTAATTGTCGATAATGAGTTCGTGAAAATGGAGAGAGAGAGAGAGGGGGGGAGGCGGAGACGCGATCGAAGAAGGGCGTTTGGCACTGTTCAATCACATGTACTTTGCCTTATCTGAAAGCTGCGCGCTAGAAATCAGAATGAATTTTTTATGTCGCCCGTATAACTTTGTATAATAAATGTAAGAATCGATATTTACAAGGCTGTGGTAAGAAATTCACGCGCAGTATAAGACCGTTTCTACAAAGTGCATTAAAGACTTACGCTGTGCGTTATTTTGCAGAATTCTTAAGCTTCTAAAAGTTATATTTAGAAAGCGTATATGTTTTGCGCTGTACTCTCTCGTCAAAGTGGAGGGAAAAATTCAACAAATTTGTTGAGGCAAACAAGTTTGGCATTGTTATTTGATACATAGGACCGTAAAGTAATGGAAAAAAATGTCAAAAGCGCTTTTTGAAAAAAACTTTTTTAGCATGTTTCAATTCTAACGCGACGGGCCAATCGCACATGGCTGTATTATCAAATTACATCGTCCAAACGAATGATATTTTTTTCAATATTGATGCAGTTTTTGTTAACAGTCCGATGTAATCTCGACGAAATTTTTCGTTTTTTTTACAGCCGTTAAATTTGGGCGCATGTCGAAGAAACAACGGGAGAAAGTCGAAGATGAAGTCAGATTCCACAGGGCGCAAATGAGGGCGGCTTCGGAGACGGCGCCGGACAGCAGCGTGTTCGAGCATCAGACGCCGAGCAGTTCGGATCAACATCATCCTTATAATGGCGGGTAAGTTATATCATTAAATTATTACTTTGAAATGGAAGAACGCCATCAAAATTCTTTGAGAGAGACACATTTCTTTGAGAAATATAGAAAGATTTAATTTTGATGGCGTTCTTCCATTTCCACCCTGTGTTTTCTTAAATAGAATCTACATATACACAGGAAAGATTTTCGGATCCCCCCCCCCCCTCCATGCTATTACACTTTGAATTATCATAAAATAAGATCGACGTAACGACAGTCATATTTGTTATTAAGAAAGAAATATTTTAATCTTAAATGGAAAATTCTTAAATCTAAAATAAAATAATGTTATA